ATAGCGTAATCAAAAATTTCCACTCAGGAGAGCAGATTAAAAAAGTTGCGGATTCGTATGCTGGTTTCACCGAATACGTGTGGACGGGATATGTAATATTTTTTGCAAGCTTTTCTCGAAAAGGGTTTAATCTTCTGAAAAGAAACAACAAAGCGTTTACTTTCCTTTGTCTGTAAAGTCTTTTAAAACAGAGGCTGCATTTTTGTCCATTAGCATTTTTCTAAGCTTCAATTTGAGGCGCTACTTAAGGGACTGATTGTTACTTTGATAAAGAATTAAGGATTGTTCTGGGAGCATCAACTTTTAATTTTAACGTTCGGGCTTTCTAGGAGTCGTTACAGTAACTCTGGAAGCTAAGCATTTCAGTGGTGTGCGTCAATATGAAAAAAAAAAAAAAACACCACTACATCAGTCTAGTGGGTAACTGACTTTTAAGTACTGGCCTCACCATTACTGAAAGATGGGTATCTTAAATGACAGGAACAACATAGAAATCGAAACCGCGAAAATGCTAATAGGTTTATGTCTTTTAGTTTATAGCTCATCCCTACAGCCAAGTTATGCTGAACACGATTGCTTACAAGGGGTCTGGAAAATGGAATCAACTCTCCTTCAAAACGAAATTTCTTCTGATGATATTGTATACACTTTTCATGCCACTTTGCATGCTGGGATACATGTTCACTGCCCTCAACCGTCTGACAAAGAAGATGGAGACTTCTCTGTGCAAGCTCTTGGCTTTGGTGGCAATGTCGGCCTTCCAAGATAAATATGACTCTTTCCTGCGCTTATCACCACTAAGTGAGTTTGAATACAAGTCTATACTATAAGCCACTTTGTCATGCTATTTGCTATCTTTTTAAAAAGCTAATTTTTTGTCGCATCAACTGAATTCCAAAAATAGCGGTCCATTTATGTCATTCAGTTAAGACTAGTTTAGTGTATTTTGCATTGAAACTGTTTCTCGTCGTCTGTTGCTACAGATTAAAAGGATGGACTTGAAAAAGTTCACAATAAAATGTTATGGTTAGTGCTCCTTGGTGAAATGATTTGCTTGATATCTTCATAACGCTGATCAGAAGAAACATTTTGTGTATGGGTAAAGGTACTTGTACAAAAAAAGCAATTAATCCTGTGTCAAAACCCCTTAAAAAATAGCTCTTTCTCGTTAGAGAAACGAGAAAGCCGTTAACCAAGGAACCAACGACTCTCGAGATTTCTCAACAGAGAGTTTTTTCATTGTATACGCGCTAAGGAATCGTGCACCGGAACACTGACGACTTCGCACAAGTTCGTAGGGCCAAATATCCTCAAATTCTTATACTCTTCCCTCCTGTTGACAGTTAATCACATGGCGTTATCTCAGTGAAGAGAGCCGATCTATGAAGGTGTAAAACAAACTTGGTTTGAAGATACGTACCCGAGATGAATAATCTTAGTGTTTTCATAGGGTTTGCAATCCACCTGCTCTACATAATGCAATACTTGACAAGGCAAAGAAGTTTTAGTATTTGCTTAACCCCTCATTTGAGTAATGAATTACGAGAACTAAACGAGACATAATAGGACTAACTTGACTAACTTGGAATTATTACTAAATGTTCCATATTCCAAAACAAATACGTCCTCTAACTTCCTTTGATTTAGCTCTGAATTGGGGAGTAGTAATAGTCGTGAGTGGGCGGCACGACCAATCAGAATCGAGTATTTAGGTCACGTGACCTGAACGGACCAATCAGCGTGCAGGATTTCATGAAGGTTAGTACTACATGTAAGACGATCACGAAAAGTCGCCGGAAGTGAGCGGAAGGTATATTGCGAATAGGTGTCACGTGACCTCATTAGCATATGATACGTCATAGGTCACGTGACCTTTCTGACTGTCAAAGATAGTAACCAATCAGAGCACAGTATTCTGTAAATAGTCCCCAGACCCCCAGGAAGTGAGCACGCGACCGGAAGTGACCTCACAACTAGTCCCCAGTGCACCGGAAGTGAATGTGCCAGGGGAAGTGACTCCCAGTCCACCGGAAGTCAACCCTGAACTAGTCCCCAGTGCACCGGAAGTGACAACGCAACCGGAAGTGCCCGCGCGACCAGAAGTCAAGAAATGTACTCTATTGCACAATGGAATAACTGGCCTCTTTATATTTGTGTTGCATGTTGTACGCTTAGGCTTGTGGTATTGCTTTGGGGTGATTTTAATCAGCGCATGCGCGTGGAGTAACATCGGCTAGGGGCATTGTCTTATAACCTAGGAGGAATGACTTGGCCTTTATATTTGTGTCGGATGTTGATCGCTCACCCTTGTGGTACTTCTTTGTGACAATGTCCAACAACGCATGCGTATAAAGTAACATCGGTTAGGGGATTGTCTTATAACCTAGAAGGGAATACTTGACCTTTATATTTGCAGTCCATGTGGAACGCTTACGCTTGTGGTACGTCTTTGTGACAAATTTCCAACAACGCATGCGCATAAAGTAACATGGAACATTGTCGTATACAGCGCGATCGGAAGGCAAGAAAGCAACCTATGAGATTGCTTTTGACGTCACCAAGTCACGTGACTGATCGCCAACTGCTTCCCAGGTCCCCGGAAGTGACCGGAAGTCAAGAAAAAAAGACACACTGTAATTGCCAATAAAAAATCACTTTTTTGATTTAATACAATCTCGAGCCTAGGTTACAAGCGGAACGTGTGTGACGGCCTAGTGACGTCACGCCCATTTGGTTTTAAAATGATGGGAAAGCAATGGTTTGGCGACCAATGCTGGTATTGGCTAGAAAGTTTTTGTTCGGTTGGAGCAGAGTCTTATCAGATGGATGGACCTGGCTCACAGGTTCGAATCCTGTCAAGAACAATTTTTACAAATCTAATAACATGTGTACATTATCGTCATCGACCTCTGACCAGGCACGGTAGCCAAAAGGATAACTCATTTTTGTTTCGGTATCTAGCACTCGTTTGTCAAAGACAACTCCATATTTCTTGACTTGGTGAACCAGTTTGATTTTCTTGTTCGTCGTGTCACGTTTAAAATGATTCGGGTTGTGCACCGCAATCACTCTTCGCTCTTCCTGTGGGTTGTTTATCTGTGACAGTATGTTGCTTTTCATGGTTTCGAAATTGAGGACCTCTTTACCTCTGACATTAAGGGAAAAACCACGCACCTTACACTCGTTTTTACCGCTCCTGGTGATGTAACCGTAGTTCTTTGCCCCTCCTGAGATGAATTCGGTGATTATATCTCCTTCTAACTCATCAGTAAACTGGCCTAAATAGTCGCCGATAGGGATGGAGGGCTGTCCGTGTTTCCAGCGGTAAATGACTGAGTCAGTGTCATAGTACAAGACTTGTTTTTGTAAATGGTCTAATGCTTCATACAATTTAAGGCGTGCCCAGGCGGTCGTAAACGCGGCTATGAAAACGTTCGTTTTGTTGCTTGGAAGCACATTGTCATCAATGTCCGTAGACACGACTTCTGAGACGTCCTCGTTACAAATCCTCAGAGTAGACACATTTTTGTGACTGGCAAATAAGATCGCAAACAACTGTGAAGGGGAGGTGACGGTCTGGGTCTTGGGTTTGTTTGGGCGTTCCCCAAATTTGCCCCAAAAGCAGTTTAGCATCAATTTCGCCGTTGCTTTCTTGCCTGCATTTTTTTGAATGCTGTCATAATTCAGGTGTATGCCCTCTCTTTCCCGATACTCTGAAATGTATTGCTGCTTTTTTTCTTCCGTCACACACCATCGCGGCCAACCGGCTGATTGTTGCTTTATCTGCAACCATTTATCAACATAGTCCCTAAAGAGACCTTCCTGCTGCTGATGAGGGGGAAAATTCCACACTTCATGGATTTTTATTAGTGTATACCCCTTCTCGATAGCTTTTTCTATCTCAGGAGTACACCATGTACCCCTGAGCATACGCTCCTCGGGAGTGTGCTTGCAGAAGTCGCTCCTCTCTAACATTTTCTTGCTTTGCTCATTCTTCACACATGCTGCACAAAGTGGAAAAGTCAACTTTGTGCCACTTCTCACTGGAAGTACCGGGTGAAACAGATTAGTGGGGGGAATTATATCGACGAGCGCAATGCCAAAATAGTTGGCAATGTTTTGATCTCTTGGTTGGGTCAAAATGGTCGGATGACCGATTGGGTACACAGAATTTTTGTTAACGAACGGGTACAAGGACGTCACGTCAACATATCTAATTTCTTCTCCTTCTGAGGCGACCGCGTGAACAGACACGGCGCCCGTTCTTCCACCGAAAAACGCTTGTCTTGGTTGTAGTGGTTCCACCAAAGAAAAATCAGTCACAAATTGTTTCACGGTGGGATCTTGTTCGCACAGAATGTGCCAATCACATTCCCACATGATTTCCAGGGTGTAACCGGCCAAGCGGAGAGCTGCTTCTTTCGCCTGCGTAGCCCTCCAGAGTTCTTCTATGGTACGATCTGCGTTGACAGCGTGTTTGGTATGGCGATTTGTAGGATGACAGCGACGGCAGCCGTGCCAAAAACAACCGTAAAATTCATACACCGTATTAGAATGCGGATCATAGCCATCCACATAGTAAGAATTTGTGGCAGTGGTTACTTTCTGCTCACCCCCGTTTCTTACGTGTTTAATTCTGTCCGCGCAGGCACCTTGCTTGGGGATACAATACTCTTTGTAGTATAACCACTTGATTGCTTGAATGGAATGATTCACATTGCTGCCCCTCCAGCCCCGGAGCGGTTCCACAGCAATTGTGTTTTCTTTCAGACAATGTTTTCTCCAGTACAGATTGCACGCTGAAGCTATCGTCACGCATTGAACAAATGGGTTGTACCCCGCATGACTCTCGAATTCTTTGGTGAAGGCTTCGCAACCCGCTTGTAATAACAGAACATCAGCATGACAATATTCCACCATTTCTTTGGCAAAGTCATATTGGACTCCACGCCTCACTTCCTCCTCATGCCATTCTTCCAATTTTGTTTTGTTTTGTTCACTCATACCATCCGGATCAAAGTATTCGAGATCGGGTATTCTTCCTTTGTACGCTTGGTTATCTGGAGTGTTAAAAAGGTGGGAAAGAAACCTTTTTTAAGTTCCGTTAGATTGAAGGCGGTTGTAAACGAAGCCAACGCCATCAGTAAGAACGACAATGAGTCCTTGAAAACAAGGGGTCCACTTTGAAAGCATAAAACTTTACTGCCCACGGTCAATTGATTTTCAATGCTTCTTTGCTGTTTATATAGTTCTTCTATGATGAAGATACCATCAAAACCTTTAAGATTATGAAAAATGGTAATGATGGTTCTTTGACGGTCGTCATCTGGAATCTCGGCTGCATCGTCGAGATCATGTAAGAAGGTGCAGACACAGTCTTTGCCTTTGTGGGTTACAATATTCATACTTTCACTGGTGCGATAACAAAGTAGGTTTGGTTGAAATTGCCTGTCCGGCAGCTGCATACTCTCTATGTCAGCGTAGATTAGGAGCGGAGGAGGGAGGGGTTTTTTCTTGCCTTGACCATCACCAACTTCTTCTTCTTCTGAGTGGTCTACGACCGGTTGTATATAGCACTTATGTGTATGGATGTGGACCAATTCTTTACAACTGGGACAAGTGGCAAAGCCACAGCGATGTCTTTTACCTTTCACCACATTGTATTCAGCATTGCACTTTTCACAGGTTTTGTGTGTTTGACAAAGATTCTTTTGGCGGTGATAATCAAAACAATTATTGCCATAAAAGCGACAATTACAAAAATGGCAAAGAATGGGTGGGTTACGAATTGCGCGGTCGTAGTCTTTACAATCCGTTCTGTTACAAGAGTGACACGAACGTCCTTCACAAGGGTGGTGTTTAGCATCATCATGATCAAACCCCTTTCCGCATAAGTCACACCAATAGCTCTTGTTGACAAAAGCCTGAAAGGAAGTACACCCATCGTAGTGCGTGTCAGATTTTAGTAAACGAATTTGCTTTGGGGCAGGCGGTCCCCTGAATATTGGGAAAAATGGACTGGACCGGCATATCACCAGCAATTGATAGGTAGGTTGCAAATATCGCTGAAATTTCTCCAATTCTTGCGTGCCACAAGGTCCTCTTTCAACACCTGCCAGTCTGTGCAGTTCTATGGCCGCGTGTTCTTGAATAACTCTACCCCGTCGCATGTTATGAAAATTGTGAAAAGCATCATTGGAGTTGTCTTTGTTGCAGTGCTCTCTCATGGTCACGATAGCCCGCGCACAGCACAAGTCATCATTATTGTTAATGGCAATAATGCATCTTTTTTTCTTGTTTTCGTTGTCCATGCAACGTTGTCCAGGGTTATTTTTTTTTCTTCCTTTTCCTTTTCCTGGCATTCTCACAAACACTACATCTACGGTAAAACCCTCACTAGGCTTGAATGATTCGTTTGAATTGAGTTTTCCTGCAAGTTTGCTGAGCATTGTATCAAGCCTAGCTGTCCTGTTTAAAAACTCCTCTACATTAAAGTTTATTGTCTGGTAGGCGTGGCTAAAGCCATTGGCCGTGATGGCAAAGTTTATAAAGTCGTGGGTAGGTCTGTTTTGTCGAATGAGTTCTGTCTCTATGGTTTGATATAATGCCTCAGTAAGTTGATTGCCAATGTTGTCGCCGGGTCTTGCATCCCGCAATTGGATTAATTGTGCATCAAATTGCTGGCGCTGCACAACATCTCTCCATTGCCTTCTTTTGCCAATTTGACGCAATCTGAACTTAAAGAGGGGGTCACTGGTAGCTGCACCGCCATACTGCGCCTCAAACTGATCATACGCTTGGTTTAAAATTTGATCAATGTCTTCATTCTCTTCACTAAAGTTGTACAAGGTTTCCATCTTGGGGTGAAAACCTCGACGATTTGAAGTTTGCAGTGCTTGACGCCCACTTATATAGAGCAAATCACGTGATACACCACTATCTCTGATTGGTGGACAACTGGATTGAACCAGTTGAAAACCAGTTGTTTTAAAACAGATATCAAAGAAGGTTTGCAAACAGGTTAAACTACTTTTTAAAACAGGTTTTGAACTAGAATTTTAAAAAATCCAAATTTTTTTCAAACCCATGTTGAAACCGGTTTTTTTTTTTTTTTTTTTTTTTTTTTTCCTAGGGTTTTTTTTTCTTGTTCTAGGTTTTTTTTTTCTTCTAATTTTTTTCTAGTTTTTTTCTTCTTGCTTTTTTTCTGCTTCTAATTTTTTTTTTTTCTTTCTCGAGTTTTTTTTTTTGTTCTTCTAGGATTTTTCTTTTTTCCAGGTTTTTCTTGCTTTCTAGGTTTTGTGTTTTTTTTCTCGTGTTTTTTTTTTCTCTGATTCTAGAATTTTTTCTTTGCAATTTTTTTTTTTGTTCTCAGTTTTTTTTTTTTTTTTTTCTAGGTTTTTTTTTTTAAAGAGAGAAGAAGAAGAAGAAGAAGAAAGAAGTTTGAGGTCGGGCTCGAACTCATGACCTCTGGATCTGTATTCATTGCGCGCGATCCCACCTACACTACTACGGATAAGTTAAGATGACCCATGCAAATTTAAGTAGTCCATAGTTTGCGCGCGTTCCCTTTCACTCGACCTTGTATATATCAACTCGGACCGCAAGTCCAGGCTCGCATGTACTCAAGTTTTTCTTCACCGTACGTGAATTGAACTGGCGACTCTCGATTGGCTATTGCACCACGTGGAGTTACACGGAGAGATGGGAGTTCAATTCACGCACGGAGAAGGAAAACTTGAGTTATGCGAGATGAGTTTGGTTTTCTTCTTTTTCCAAGTCAAACAGGTTCACGTTTAGTAAATGAGTACAACTCGGTGGTTTTTTCTTCCCAACAAGCAAACAATCATTAAAAAAACAATGTACGCATTCCCTAGAAGAAAAACAAAATGGCGGTCGATCGGGAAAGAAACGCCGACCGATTTCTCTTTTAGAATCGGCGTTGATTTTCAAAAAAAAAAAATGCAAGAGTTTACTCATGTAGTGAGAATGGAAGGATTTTCTTTTATGTGGCTGGAAGGGATGTAAGTGAGGAGGTTCCCGTTTTGTACCATTAAAAAACACACAATATATGCAGTTCAACAAGGTGTTTTATTGAATATCTCGTTGCCAATGAAATAATTGATCAATATCGTTATGCGTGAAACCCAAGAATTCATAATCATAGGTACCATATTTGTTTAAATTGAAAGAAAATAAACACAATAAAGCTTCAATGACAGAGTCTTTGGGTCTCATAAAATTCCAACAAAAATCCATGTTGCCTCCCCATTCTGGCGGACTAGGATGTTGTTTTTCCACCATTTTCCATTGCCATTCTTCATGAATGTCATGAAAGGCGAGTTGGGGTAACAGTTCCATCAGAGTATCTGCAAGTTGACTTCTGTAAGTATACCATTGTTTACTCCAGGCTTCCACACTAGGAGGCATTAAGCGTACATTTTTATTCATACCAAATTTTTGAATCATCGCATAAGCCACACTCCACACCCAATCTCTGGCCCAACCAGTGGTCGAGAGTTTATCTTGTAAATTTTTATCTTGAAGTATATACATGAGTAGCAATCAGTTTCTTGGTGAACTCTTGGTAGATTTGAGTGTTCAGCCGATACAATTCGTAATTTAAATTTTCAAAGGTGTATCCTTGATTAGAAATAGCATCTTGAATCAAATCACGAATAAACTCTTTGTAAGTCGAATAATTACTGAGTGGATGCTGGCTCAGTAGTTTGTCCATGCAGTTCGTCGCTCAATCGATGTAAGGTGTCGGAAAAATCTTCTAACCAATGCGTATAACACTCGTGAAACGTATACCCTGCGGCTAATCCTCGTTGGATTCTTTCTAGCATGTAATCTTCCCAAGAGGGAAAATCACTCTGGTGAAGAGTCTTGTAATAATCTTTCATTCGTTTGAGCTCGTTCTGCGCGTCGACTTTTTCTGGCTAAATGACGTTCATGCATGAGTTGTCGCAGTTTTATACGTCTTTGTTGAAAAAAGGAGACCACCGGATTGGTCGATTCATCTCGTAAAGCTTGTTTTTTTAACAGGATGGTTTGCCCCATGGGTTGATACACCTCGACTTGTGGACAAAAATGAACTTTCTTGTTCATCTTAAAAAGGTACGTCGAAAAAGACCTCTCATCTCCTTTTTACCTTGTTCTGTAAACTGTCTCGATCCTACAATGCCCACATGATCATAAAGAGTGAGAGAACAAGCACTTTTCAAGAGTTGAAACTGACATTTTTTCACATACGAACCCTTTTGTAGATGATAATAGATAAACTCGTACCACTGGTTGTCGGTCAAGTCAAACAGGTACACGCGTTTCCCCATATCCAAAGCCAGTTGAACGGTCCATCCCGTTCCTCCTTGAACTTTGGTCTTGTTGGCATCTAAGTAGCCAAAGGCATACAGAGCATAAGATTGTCTAGCAATAAAATAATTTCGAACCATTAATTCTTCAAAATAAGTAGCTGTACCAATAGGACTTTTACGCTGAAGCGTTTGGTTGGCTCGTTTGATGGATTCACGAGCATGATAAAGATCAGCTTCAGTGGGTTGAATGGGACTAAGACATTTAGCTCTGGGATGATTGGGACCTATTTTGATATCCAACCGACATTCATACGCCAAAGCCAGTCGTTCAGCATATTCATCTGCTCCTTGGGCTCCACCAGTCACAATGGTATATTTTTCACCCGCTGGATGTTCCATGGGTTCTTCTGCAAACTCGACTTTTTTTTCCACAACATTTCTGACATGTGTCCATGTTTTTGAAGGCTCTGCAGGATTGGAGGAAGCCATGGTTAGAATGAAGAAATGATTGAAGATCACTAGTAATATACTTGTTTTGAAAAACATGTTAAACGGGTTTTCTTTTTAAAAAAACAAGTGAAACCAGTACAAACAGGTGAAAACCAGTCAATCCAGTACAAACGGGTTAAAACCAGTCAATCCAGTTGTTCCGCTAGCGCGTTGAAACAAAATGATTGGTTGAAGATCAGGTGATCGCGCTTATATAGTCTCGGAGCAACTCGTCATTTTCATCAGTTGCATCATGCAGTCACCAGTCGAGGCTCCACCCGTGAAACGAAAATATACCAAGAAAGATAAACCTGACTCCAAAGAAAAAAAGAAGAAAAAACCCAAATGGGAAACAGATTCTCCCGCTTTGAAGACAGATCCTGTCAAAGAAACACCCGAACCTATCGTGGTGGAGAAACATTATGCGATGAAAGATGGGCAATGGGTGGAAGAACAAGAGCAAGAAAAAGATCTGGCCATTCAAGCCTTGTTGGCTGAAGTGGACATGATTCCACAAATTGGAAGTCCACCTGGACCACAAAGTAGGAGTCCACCTCGAGCTCCTTTAGCCGTGGTGGATTTGGTAACGTGCCCCTTTCATCTGAAACCTCTCACTCGTAAAAAACCACCCGATGAGATTGAGAAACAAGAAGTGCTGTTTTGCCCCGACATTGATTGTCCCGTGTTCCTATTTGCCAGTCACATTGATGCTTATCTACAAGCTCTGCATTACACACTACCCAGTCATGATGTGATGGAATGTTGGGACATTCTGCAATGTTTCTGCCATTGCACCCCTGTGCTGAAACTGAGTCAATCGGAAACCAACCCCAATCGTTTGTACTTGAGCTGCAACAATTGGCAGAAAGAGCTGAAATGCCCTTACTTCCAGTGGTATGATGAACCTTTTACCAACAAGAATGCAGCCTGGCAAGATGAAATGCGATTTGAATTCAAGCAGTTACCCGTACCATCCAGTCGAGAAGAAGCCAAAAGAAAAGCGCAAGAACACAAAGAAGCTTGCAAAAAGATGGCCTTTCAGCAGTACTTTACCAACTTGAAAGCAGACATGGAGGAAAAACGGAAAAATCTGATGAAAACAGGAGGCGGCAGCGGCTGGGAGGCTCCACGCGAAGACGGCGCGCGCGAAGGCGGCGGCGGCGGTGGCCCGCGCGAAGACGGCGGCGGCGGCGGCGAACGCAAAAGTCCCTTTGTCTACTATACAAGAGCAGTACCATCCAACTCGTTCACTGCCTTTGAGCATGGAGTCCATGTTTGATGAGACATTACCTTGGAAGAAGTTACCTCATTTTATTCAAGAACGTATTTATTCGCTTCCGATGGTTCACGCACGAAATGAGATGGGATGGAAAGCCTTGCATGAACAATTGTTTCCATTCGACTATGGAAAACATCATTGTTGGGATTGTGGAAATGAGTTGACGAAAATGCGTCGGTTTAACGAACATGATCTTCCTGCAATTACATTTCTAATAAATTATAAGCTTCATAGTCCCTTTAAGTTTCGTTGCAAGAAATGTAAACTGTTTGGTACAAGAAAACTTTATCGTGTACAACATAGTCACCAAGGCATGTTTCCTCGAACCGATCTACCATTTTACAAAGTACATGTTTTTGGATATCTTGTGGTTAATATCCATCGTGCATCGTCCGAGGCGTATAATGGTCATGGATTATTAACAGGTTATCATGTGAGTCATGAAATCAATGCGGTCAGGAAACTCACTCGATATTATGATGAAGACAATGACTATACGCGAGAACATCATATTTTTAGACCCATCTTTTTCTACCAAGCATTTAGAGTTTTATTTGTTTAAGAGCCAGCAAAAAAAAAAAAAAAAGTGTATATAGTGAGTTGTCATTAAAGTTATTTTTTAAAAAAGACAAAGAAAATGTGGTATTATTTGCGTTGGCGTTTGATTCGTTTTCTTTGCGCTCGTTTATTTTTAAAATATTCCGAGCAGCATGTTTTGCAAGAATGGGGTGATCCCGTGGAAACCTTTAAAGAGACGCACGTCCATCGCGATTTGGGAAGATTTGTCACGTATGTGGTGTGGTTAAAACAGTTTCCGTTTGCAGCACAGTGGTATTTTCGCATTGAGGAACAATTTGGGTCTCAAGTGCTCTCATGCATGGAGTTGATTCGTTATTGGATACAATGAGGAAAGACGAGTTGGTGGTATTGTGCTTTTTGCAAAGTCAAATTTGTCAGAGCAAGAATTGAAATGCCTTGATGCTTGGCTGTGTCATCGCCAGAGAACAAGCGCAACCATGCTGCGAAGATAGATCAAAGAGATATTGTCCAGACACTGCATGCACCTAGCACGCTCAAACAACATCGTTGAACCAGTTTGCTGAAGCTCAGAGAAAGAAGAGGTGGCAGTGGAACTTTCTTTTTTGGCAAAAAAACTATTAAAGAAAAGAGGCTTAAGTGATCTGTGTCACTGCGCTATGTCGTTAGCACGTGCTTACGAAGATCCCCATAAACAAGGGGCCTTGGGTGGGGTAGACCCGTTTGCCAAAGCCCACAAATTGAAAACTCCTCAAGCGCAACAAATTCTGCAATCCGTGCTCAGTTATACGTTACACAAACATCGACGCACTCGTTTCCCCACCACTCCCACCTTGGTGTTTGACCGAGACGAACAATGGCAAATGGATTTAGTGGACATGCAAAAACTCAGTCGATGGAACAAGGGCAACAAATATTTGCTGACCGTGATCGATGTGCTGTCCAAGTATGCGTGGGCAATTCCCATCAAATCCAAAAGCAGTAAAGAAATGATACGAGGGTTGGAAGAGATTCGTCGACAAGCCTCACCTCGACAACCACTCCTCGTGCAGACGGATCAAGGCAAAGAATTTTATAATGCAGGGGTGCAAGCCTGGTTCAAGAAACACGACTGGCATCATTTTTCAACGTATGGGGATAGTAAGGCCTCCGTGGTAGAACGATGGCATCGCACGTTGAAACAGCGAATGTACCGCTACTTTACAGCCCACAATACCTTGAAGTATGTGGATGTGTTACAACCGTTAATCCACTCGTACAATCAGTCCTATCATCGGAGTATTGGTATGACCCCGCAGCAAGTCACAGAAAAAACTGTGCCCGAGGTCTGGGCCAGACTCTACGGTAAGCGCTTGAAGCAAAAGACACCACCTCCCAAATGTCAAGTGGGTGATCGCGTACGCCTCAACAAGAAACATCGACCCTTTCAAAAAGGCTATCTACCTGGATGGACAGAAGAAGTGTTTGTGGTGACGCATGTACGTCGACATCCCATCGTGACCTATCGACTCAGTGAATGGGACGGTACGCCTATAAAAGGTACGTTTTACGAACCGGATGTGCAAAAAGTGCAAGTGTCCGATGACTCGTTATTTCGGGTCGAAAAAGTCTTGAAACGTAAAGGACGCAACGTGTTAGTGCGCTGGAAAGGCTGGCCACCCAAGTACGATAGTTGGATTCCCGCCTATGGTGCGAAGAAAACAAGCAACGCATCGAAAAAGAAGAAGTAGACGGTTTCTGTACCCAATACCCACTGAAGCCAGTGACACGTCACCCCACATGGACGAGGTCGAGATCATGAAGTTCATTAACAAGGAAGCGGCGAAACAAAGACGAGCCAAAGTGAACAGAATGGCTGGGCTCGCCTTTGGTGAACAAGCGCTTCGTTCTTACACGGCTGCCCAAAAGAAACAACGCCGGCGCGCTGGTCGTCATCCACCCATGCGCAAGAAGAAAAAAACCACCCAACAAAAAACTTGCTTAACTCTAATGGAACTGGCACAAGCCTTTCCCAACATTGCTCAGCAAGTATGTTTTTATCCCAAACAATCAACCTTTAATTCTTTAGTGGGACGGGTTCCTCGTAGCAAACAGAAAGTGGTTCAGTGGCTATAAAAGCACCTTGTACTCTCTGAGACGCACCTCTTGTTCATCATGAGTGAGATTAAACGCTTGACGCTGATCAGTGACCCGACCAACGAGTTTCCCAAAAATACTAACAACAGTTTCAAGGTCCGTCTACCCGAACGTGTCAACTTACCGGGCGAAGGTTGGCACGCCTCGTTGATGTCCCTGACCGTGCCGGATAAAGGACAGAGCAATGCCGTCATTGCCACGGATCCTCACACCAAAGTCGTCAAATTTAGCCTCACGTACTTGACGCGCAAATGGGTGACTGGGATGTACCGATTTGTGGAATACAAGACCAAGGATTATGGAGTGGAATTGGAAGATGTCATGAGTTCCAAACAGTCTGTGACTACCGGGAGTATGTTTTGGAAACGCGTGATGCAAGAAGTGCACAACAAGGTCATGCAGTCACTGTTGAACGAACAAGATGCTGCCCTGCGATTCAATGCGGATCAACGACCCATAGTCAGTGTGAAAAAGAATTGGATGCCTAGAATGACCTGGAAAGACGATATCTTGGTGCTACATGCCATCCCTAAAGAAGACGCATTGAAAAGCGACAAGACCAAAACGACAACCACCTTCATGATGGATCTGGGGATAGCGGAAAGGTTTGGTTTTGTTCAACAACTCCAAGGCGTGGTGGGTTATGTGCTTGGGCCCAATCTGCAATTCACTTTCCCTACCGTGACCTACACAAACCAGACCCAGCCAGACAGTACCGACCCCGCTGCTCGCGCAGACTACAACTGGAATGGAGACCATTTTCTTGCGGTGCAACCCACGGATTTGACCAGTGACGTCATGGATCAAGTGTTTGAGGTAAACGGAAAGCGGCTTCATCTGTCCAGGATGGTAGAATGGCAGTTCAACAATCTAAATGCATCGTTTGAAAAGATCGTGGGAACCAGCAAACGCACCGTGATGGTCTATTCGGATGTGGTGGAATCGACTATGGTGGGCAGTGGCAAGTTTCCCTTGCTGCGAGAAGTACAGTTATTGAGAACAGGTGAGGGAGAAAGTACGGCTGAACCACTGCATCACCAGTGGATCAAAGTGCGAGGCAACCAATTGGACATCGTCGAAGTGGAAATTGCTGATACCAGTGGCCCCCTGACAATTTTACCACCCGGCAAAACCATTGTGACGATAGGTCTCAAACAGCTATAAAAACCACCACGCACATCTGAGAGAAGACCATACAAAAACAGAACAGAGATGCGTGGAGGAAGTTTAACGCGCTACCACACGCCCGTGGTGACGACCCAAGAGGGAAAAGGATTGGCCGAAGACTTAATCAAACTAGCTGGTCCTCTCATCGTGCAACAAGCCCAAGCGGGACTCCAAGATATCCAACAAGGAATGAGTTTGACCGACACCTTGTCGAATCGTGGAGAGCAAATTAAACGCGGCTTGAAACGCAAAGCTCCTACCCTGGCCTGGACCGTGGGAAAAAACCAAGCCAAACGAACCGCTCAAAATACCTATAAAAGAACGACTCAACGCGTACGGGATATTTTTGGATTGTGAATGATGGTACGCATTGGAGGATTTCGCAAAACGCAAAATCGCATTCGACTTCAGCGGCCCCGAGGCCGGTTCATTTCACCGTATCAAACGGGAGGGACTATCTTTGGTAAATCTACCACAGCGCGCTATCCCTTCATGTACTCATCATCCCCAGCAATAGAGCGTTGGATGAAGAAACACCTGCAGCAACGTGGCAAAATGAAAGGAGGTACGATTTTTAGTGACCGCAGGCGGAACAATCCTTTCGGGTTCCCATCGACGTCGACCCGGATCAACCCCGAACCCTGGAGGTTGAAACAGGCCCTGCGCCGTATGAAAGGAGGGGATCTCAGAAAAGTATTGTGGGCCAACCAAGCCAAAGCCAGAAGGCAACGACAGGGTATAAAAAGGAGACGCCGTTGAACGTCTTCACTCTCATTGTGGACTTGGGGCTGACCGAAAAAACATGTCGCTCAATTTGTTCGATGTCCCGAATGTGGATTACCGGTACGAAGCCTCCAGGGACGTGACGTTTCAACCTGCCTTGACGGGAATACAACCCATCACGTTTTCCATCCCGGCCTCCGAAGATTATTATGATCTCGGCGAACTCCGTTTTCAAGTCAAAGTACGTCTGACTGATCCTGCCGCTGGGTATCTAGGATTGAAAGCCAATTTGGCCGATTCCGATGCCAACAATACCAGAAACACCTACTGCGTCAACAATTTTGCCCACTCCATCTTTCGAGATATTACCATGAGCATGAATGGTGTGCTCATGACTGAACAGAGCAATACCTACCATTACAGAGCCTACTTGGAAACCTTGTTGAATTACAACAGAGAAGAAGGAGCCACCAAGTTAGCCCCTCAAGGCTGGGTGAATCAACTCAATGTGATTGAGGAAATGGGAGCAACAAATGCTAATTCCGATACCCCTACCGGTGCTGATTGGAGTGGAAATGTAGAATTGCGAGCCTTGACCAGCCGGTTGCTAAGCGAAAATTGGCACACCTTTATCATCCGTCCTCATTTACCACCCCTCAAGACGGGTAAATGTTTGGTGCCTGGTGTGCAGTTGGACTTTGAATTGTTTCTAAACCCCAAGTCTGTCTACTTGATGGGTACTCCTAACAAAGGGACCTTAACCACCAAGAAATTTCCTGCCATCCATAATGATGACATCAAAGTCACCTTACTGATGCGAAAAGTGACCTTGAACGCGAGTGTCTATGTCAGACTGCAAAAAGAAAGACAGTTGGGAAAAAAGATTGTGCGCTACCCAGTGGTTCGAAGTGAAATCCGCACCTTCTCCTTTGATGGGAGAACTACCCAGTGGGAACAAGACAATGTGTTTGTGGGTCGATTTCCCGATCGAGTGATAGTGGGATTGCTACATTCCAATGCCTTCAATGGTGACCTACAAAGATACCCCTTTGCCTTTGAAAAGTTTGGGGTGACCCAAGTGCGACAAAGTTTGAATGGAGAAGAATATCCTTACAGAACCCTAGAACTAACAGGCGATGAAGCCTATGAAGATCTACTAGGCTACGATCGCTTTCTACAAGCCATGGGTTCCTACAATGAAGACAAGATCCCCATGCTGTTGCCTAGTGATTGGGGACAGGGCAACAACTGCACATTGTTTATGTTCAACAATGTAGCAAGCGGCAAAGCCGACGACCCTCAGTATCGCAACCCTCGCCAATCGGGGAATGTGCGACTGGTGATTGATTTCAGGGCTGCTGTTAATCACAACATCACTGTGTTGGTGTGGAGCGAGTATGAAAACATGTACGAGATTAATCATCTGGGAGGTATAAAGTACAACATCAACGGCTGAACCATCCTCAGAAGAAACCAGCCATGGAGTTTGTGGCGCTCAGCGATACTGTGTTACGGGCGTTGGCCTTAGATGATCCTGAATTACGACGCGTGTTTCAAGGTGTGTACCCAGCCGATAAACTACCGCCATCACCTCCCCAAACGGTCCGCGCGGCCTACATTGTCAACACGGATCCAGCGGGTGAACCGGGACAACATTGGTTGGGCATGTGGACAGAACAAAACAAGTGCGAAATCTTTGACAGTTATGGTCTACCCTTGCACGTGTACAAAAATGCAGAGTTGCACAAGTGGTGGAGTCAATGGAAGTACCTAACTAGCAGTGACATTACCCTGCAAGCCATGGATAGTCAGACCTGTGGTCATTATGCATTATTTTTCCTTAAAGCCAGAGCGCAAGGACAGACCTACAAGGACTTTTTGGGAAGTTGGAGTTCCGATAATTTAGTGTTGAATGATCAAAAAGTAGCCCAAGACTTGAAACGAGTGATTAAACGTGAATTACAAGATGAAGTGGATGCCCGACCAGATGGGCAAAGTAATTTGAGCCGCCAGGCCTTTCTGCTTTGTAATAAAATGTAATAAAAACGTGATTTTACTTGGCAAATGTGTGTGTGTGTGTCTTATCATTATGATAAAAAGGACAAGCCCAGCAACAAGAGGTGTCATTTTTTCTTCATCATGATTACACGTGGCGATGTGCAGCGCGTTATCGATGCATTCATTTTGAAAGAATCTCTTTATTGGTGGTTTCATCCCATCGAACGCGTCCAAACCGTCCGAGGCAATGATGCTTGGGATGGGTATCGTTGGACCTTAGCCAGACAATTGGCTCAAGATAGAGAATGGATGTCGCTTAAAGCGTACATGGACACCATGGGTGAATCGTATTTAAGGGAATGTATGCAACACCTCATTCAGTCAGCGTCTCCTCGATTATACCGCGAGTATTGGACGGTATGTCGAGAAGAAGAAGAAAAAGAAAACCCTTGAGAACCTCTCCACGATGGCGATTTCCTCAAAACGGGCGCGGGATCATTGACGTATTGACCAAGGCGGCCAAAATCGGTTATAAATTGGGACGTGATAAACGGTATAAACGAATGGGAGCCAAAGGTGCCACGGGTCATTACAGACGTCTACCTCGTCCGTGGGAAGGATGATACGACAGCCAAGTAGCGTGATTATTGCCGGACCCTCGGGCAGTGGCAAGAGCGACTTGGTGGAACAATGGTTGCGGTACCTGAACGTGTTTCAAGTGAAACCCAAAACCATGGTGTATGCGTATGACCGATGGCAACCCAGATTCGAGCGTATGCAAAAAGAGGATGGGATTCGATTTCATCGCGGGTTACCAGACCCTAGTCATTTGACAAAATGGTTTGGCCCCACGCGAGGGGGTGTTTTGGTCTTGGATGATCTAATGGAAGAAGGGGGACAGGACAAACCCGTGTTGGACTTGTTTACCAAAGATTCCCATCATCGCAACATTACCGTGCTGTATTTAACGCAAGATTTATTTCCACCCGGTAAATTCTCCAAGACAATTAATCGCAATGTGCATTACATTGTGACCTTCAAAAACCCACGAGATCAAACGGGCATACGAACCATTTTACTTCAAGCCTTTCCTGACCGTTGGCGCCAAGTCTTGCGACTATTTAATCGTGTCACATCGCGCCCTTTTGGTTATTTGATGTTGGATGTGCACCCTGCCTCGGATGATCGTTACCGTTTGTGGAGTCATTTAACACCCCGAGAAGGTAAAGCGCAAGTTCATACCTTGCCCTCGGATGTCCCTACCGTTCGAAAACGCACTGCAACGAGAACGCGAACGTCAACGTCGGCAAAGAGAAGGAGGACAACATACTGAATTATCAACCCGCATGAATACCACGACCCTGTCTCCAACAGACGTGGATTTACCGTCAGCAGTACCACCGCCTTGCAAAAGCGTAAAAAAAAAGAAAATAGTCCTTTCACCTAATGTGAGGTTTGACAATGAGCTAGCAATGCACCGAGCCTTGAGACTATAAAAACGAGACACATCTTCAAAAAGGTTCATCAGATGTTGTACAACCCATCATGCCACCCAAACGAAGACGACAACGAAGAGTCAGCTATCCACGCCGCCGCCGACACTACCAACGAGGGGGGATTTTACCCTTTCTCATTCCCGCGGCCATCTTAGCAGCCAAGGCCGCGACGGCGGGCGCTATTAGTGGGGGTGTAGGGTACGGCGTGAAGAAAGCCCTCGATCGTAGACGAAGATGAGAACCTATAAAAAGGAGTGTGTTCCCTACCCCGTCACATCACATCATGCCACCCAAACGTAGACGACAACGACGAAAGCAACGAGGCGGTATTCTCCCGTTCCTCATTCCCGCTGCCATCGCTCTCGGCAAGGCGGCAGCGCTAGGGGCCATTAGTGGCGGTGCGAGCTACGGTGCCAAAAAAGCTATCGACGCTGCTACGCGCAAGAAAAAAAAACTCAGTCCAGCCCAATTAGCGGCCAATAAACGGCACGTTGAGCGTGCGTTAAAACGCACAGGATGGGCTTTCTAAACTCCATGCACGTTATAAAAAAGAAATAAAAGGGTTTGACAAAGAGCTAGCAATGCGCCGAGCCTTGCGACTATAAAAACGAGACACATCGTGAAAAAGGTTCATCAGATGTTGTACAACCCACCATGCCACCCAAACGAAGACGACGGCGACGAAAGCAACGAGGAGGTATTCTCCCGTTCCTCATTCCCGCTGCCATCGCTCTCGGTAAGGCGGCAGCGCTAGGAGCCGTTAGTGGCGGCGCGAGCTACGGTGCCAAAAAAGCTATCGACGCTGCCACGCGCAAGAAAAAAGTGGGCAAAATCAGTGCAGCGCAATGGGCAGCCAATAAACGAGACGTTCAGCGCATGTTAACTCGAACGGGTTTGCCTGGGTTAGCTTCTCTACGAATGCTAAAGTAAAAAAACTATAAAAGAGACAATGTTAGCTCCTCAGGAAACGATGCTGGTATCATGGATTGCAACGTGGAAGAGTGCTACACATGTTGGCGATGGCTCTCTCGCCTTGCGAGGTTAAGAAACGCACACGGCTGTGAAAAGGTTAGAAGCGATGCAGTGCTCCGAAAAAGAAAAAAAGGTTCTAACGATTATTTTTTACAGTGCGACAAAAATTTTGAAGACAGGTTGTGTCAACAGTGTCGCGACCACATGCAACAATATTATCATGGCGAACTGTGTGGAGCACTTTTTACCATAAATAGACCTTCGGTAGATGACCCAAAGCAACAATCACACGATGGATTGGCGCATGGAACGTCAAGCTCCGTTTCTGAAGAGTGTGTTGCGAGAAGCAGACAATCATAAACGACAAGAATTGTTACGGCTGGCCAATGCGGATCAGATTAATGCCATCAGTGAATTGGTCATGAACACAATCCGCGGAACCGTGCCCCGTTCTCGACACACCATCACTTTGCTGAAACCCCATGCTCAGAGTTTAAGAGCCATGGCCAAACCGACTCATTCGGTCAAACGTCGACGCGCTATCATGATGTCTCAAAAAGGAGGGACTCTCTGGTCCGAACTCTACCGATGCTATAAACGTACCATGCGTTAGACATTGTACCTCATTTGCACCATGGAGCAAGAGATGGTGAGCACCTCTGTGGACAATGCTCCGGCTTTTTTACAATTACGAGACAAGTACAAACAAGAGTTGGTGGAAGATACTCGCTTGACCAAAGCGGCAGATTTAGCGGCCAAACAACATGTGCTCTTGACCAGTGAGGTGCCCGATGCATGGAAACGGCCTCAACTCAAAGCCGTGGGGCGTCAATTACGCCATTGGACCAAAAAAGTACGCCAACCGTTTGGTGCCCCTGTCAGTGGGGTAAGTGCTACAGGCACCCCTGCGACTGAAACGGGCGAAGATGAGTTTGATGCTGGCCCAGTGCAAGCTTGGTTGACGCAACTAGTCAAGGCTAGCCAGGGTATAAAACAAAGTGCTTCTCCTGCAGGACCCTCCAGACCCGGTAGAAAACCACGCGTACCACCCAAACCCATTATCACCCCGAGTGCCAAAAAGAAACTCAAGTTCACTCCTGAGGCGAGCACCGAAGAGTTGGCTCAAGAGTTACCCTTTTCAGACACGTACGGTGTTGAACCTTGGGATACACCCCGTGAACGTGCGGAATCTATCAAGAAAGCCGTCAAGCGCGGCATTCGCAAAAGAGCCACCGACGCAGCCAAAAAGAAAGCAGAAAGTCTGGCCAAGAAAGCCTTGGAGTGGGAAACGTGGAAAACTCCATGATGAGACGGACCAAGAGACGTCGTGCCGCACCTAAAACCCGCCAGCGACGACGACGATCGCAACGCGGAGGCAAGTTATTTGATGTTCAAAAGTTATTGACCAAGACGGGCATAGAGTTTCATTGGCCCGGTTATCAGTATATGGGACCTGGGACTCATTTGGAGAAACGTTTAGCCCGCGGTGACCCAGGCATAAACAGGTTAGACAAGATTGCTAAAGCCCATGACATTGACTATGCTAGAGCCAAAAACTTGACGGACAAATGGACGGCAGATCGCAAGATGATTGCCAAGATCGATAAACTGCCAGGTCAGAAAAGTCTGACGGAACATATTGTCAAAAATATCATGAAAGCTAAACTCAAGTTGGGCATGTAATCACGTTGTTGTTATGCATATGAATAAAAGAGATTGTTTATACCAAATTCTACTCAGTGTGGTGTTGTAGTTTTATTCCTCTGACAAACACATTGTCTTTTTTTCATACAATCTCGATGTCATGCACTATTCCCTATTGCATTTTCATTTTACCAGTGCCTATACGCATCGAGTGATTAGTCTTGTATTAAAAAAGCAAACGTCTCACTAATTGTTGACAAACGGATAAAGCTATTGGACCGTATCATGTCAAGTCGCAAGGAAAACTACAAATATCAAGCTCTAGCAAGAAACGAAGCAAGATTCCGCCTAAAGGAGAATCTTCTTGAACAAATGCTATTGTCAGTGGATGAATTGGACGATTTTCACGAATCTTTGATGATCAAACTTGAACGTGACAATTTTAACAGTATATTATCTCCATCCGATGTACAAGAAATCAAACAAGCCGTACAACGAAGAAAACAACAATGGAGACAACTGGAAAAAGTCTTTCATGATCACTTACAAACCATTCCACCCGAAAGCATGAATTACATTCCTTTTCAAGAGGTATATAATCATGTTCGATCCAGAAAAAAACGTCAGATCAACCAAGTGATTCAAAAATACAACGAAACTCATTTTCGAGAATTAATTGATCAATTGTGGACCAAAGCGTGGAGTCAAGTCCCGAAGGTTCAATAACCACCGCAAACAACAAAAAAAAGTTGCTGACGAGTCAACGTGGAGGAACAGCATCATGGAAAGTATTGCAAGATGTTTGTCACTACCTTTACCTATAAGAAGATGTCGCAAATGCAAAGAATATAAAACAACTATGGCTAATCTACTTCAAATCATACAAAAACAAAACGAACAACTGCAAAACCTACAACGTCAACTGGATTTCACAAAGGCGCAATATCTCGAACAAAATCAACGATTATCTCGTACTCAAGAAAAATTCCTCTGCAATGTTTGTCTCGTTAAGTTCAAACAGCCCAACCAAGGTTTTGAACTTTGCTCATCATGTTCTACAAGAGTACCAAACTGAACTCAGTCCTCACGATTGCAGCAGAAGAAATTGGGTAACTTGATAAACCTAAACAACCAAAGCAAGACGATTTGCAGAAAAAAAATGGCTTCTAAAGGATTTGGGTCGCAAGTGCAACTCATGCTGCAATTATAAATCATAGATGTAACCCAAGCACGACATGGAAATTGTATTAAATCAAAAAAGTGATTTTTTATTGGCAATTACAGTGTGTCTTTTTTTCTTGACTTCCGGTCACTTCCGGGGACCTGGGAAGCAGTTGGCGATCAGTCACGTGACTTGGTGACGTCAAAAGCAATCTCATAGGTTGCTTTCTTGCCTTCCGATCGCGCTGTATACGACAATGTTCCATGTTACTTTATGCGCATGCGTTGTTGGAAATTTGTCACAAAGACGTACCACAAGCGTAAGCGTTCCACATGGACTGCAAATATAAAGGTCAAGTATTCCCTTCTAGGTTATAAGACAATCCCCTAACCGATGTTACTTTATACGCATGCGTTGTTGGACATTGTCACAAAGAAGTACCACAAGGGTGAGCGATCAACATCCGACACAAATATAAAGGCCAAGTCATTCCTCCTAGGTTATAAGACAATGCCCCTAGCCGATGTTACTCCACGCGCATGCGCTGATTAAAATCACCCCAAAGCAATACCACAAGCCTAAGCGTACAACATGCAACACAAATATAAAGAGGCCAGTTATTCCATTGTGCAATAGAGTACATTTCTTGACTTCTGGTCGCGCGGGCACTTCCGGTTGCGTTGTCACTTCCGGTGCACTGGGGACTAGTTCAGGGTTGACTTCCGGTGGACTGGGAGTCACTTCCCCTGGCACATTCACTTCCGGTGCACTGGGGACTAGTTGTGAGGTCACTTCCGGTCGCGTGCTCAATTCCTGGGGGTCTGGGGACTAGTTACAGAATACTGTGCTCTGATTGGTTACTATCTTTGACAGTCAGAAAGGTCACGTGACCCTATGACGTATCATATGCTAATGAGGTCACGTGACACCTATTCGCAATATACCTTCCGCTCACTTCCGGCGACTTTTCGTGATCGTCTTACATGTAGTACTAACCTTCATGAAATCCTGCACGCTGATTGGTCCGTTCAGGTCACGTGACCTAAATACTCGATTCTGATTGGTCGTGCCGCCCACTCACGACTATTACTACTTTGGGGTCTTTTTTGTTAAAAAAAAACCGCTTCAGAACATCATTACGGGTCTAATTTAGGTCATCTCAGCTGGTAATCACTTTATTAATTTTGTTTGGGCCCACGAGCGTTGATAAGTCCAGATTAGCTTGGAACAGTTCATGATATAGCTACGTTCGTTCAAATTATGCTTAATGAGTCAAGCACTTACCCCGTAGGAATATTTATTCATTTACTTATTTATCTATTTTTATAGCTGTTATTATTGGTATCTGGGTGGTTGGTATAATAGTACAAGAAATAAAGCAAGCCATGTTTCAAAAAGTTGTTTATTTACAAATGCAAATTAAGCTTAAGTCTTGCGCTACTTTATTTAGTTCACTTGTTCATAAATAAGCTTAAAATTAAATTTAATAATCTTTTTACAGAATTATTTTAAGTACAAACAGAATTCACAACTCCTTTTGAAGAAACTTCCCGCAAGAGCTAAACAAACGCCTTCAAAAGTTTTATTTCTCGCTAAGAAAAAGCGACGACCACGGCCGTTCGGTCATCGCACGCCAAAATTGTAATCGTTGGCAACAGTAAATGAGTTAAAATCATCATTTTGTGCTCAATTATCTCACTGTTTTAGTATATACTAAAACAATTATTCACCTCAGTGTCGGTGGCTAGCCACCTCCACTTCGGTGAATAATTGTTATTTATTAAACTAGAACATCGTTTTATCGAGGATCGTTAAATTGCGGTTCCACTAAGTGTATATGTGAGCTAACAGATAGCTTGTACATGTTCTTTTAACAGAATCGAGGGAACCGTGGAGACATTGTTTTGGGCATTGTTCGGACATGTCGAATTTCCTGCTTTTGAAACGGACGAGAACTCAAAGATTACCATGGTTACAGGACAGATTTTGTTCGCAGTATACAGCCTCGCTTCCATACTGGTTGTACTAAACCTACTGATCGCTATGCTCAATAACTCATACAAGAAGGTTGATGTAAGTGCAATGTTGTGTCTACACAAATCGGTTTATGATAAAATTGTAAACGCATACAAACTAACGTGCCAATGGATGGGTCACACAAGAACAGTATAATTGATATTGCGCCAACATCCCTTTCCACGTGTTCTCAGCCATAAAAGGAGAAGTTTGCATGTAATATCACAGTAACACGTACGTACATAGCGTAAGTAAATATTGCAACCCTGGAAATAATAATTAATAATAAAGAAAAATGTGGTTAGCTTACGAAAGGATGAGGAAAACATATCATGAAGACTTTTGTTTTTCGGCCATCGTAGTTTAAACAAAAATGAAACACCAGCAGCGGTGATAAACGTTGTGAAAGTTCGTATTTTGATAAGTGACGTATCGTATGCTAGTCAACAACCATTTTCAAAAGTGTTCTAAATTGACCTTTACAGATTATGACGAGACTATTTACACAAAATTTACAAGGGGTCTGGGAGTGAGATTAAGAAGACAAAATTCTTAACAGTTATAATTACATAAGGCAACAGCTAACAAAGCATCAGCTTGTCACTGCTGATGTTGACCTGGTGTTGTGCTTGACCCGCTAATTAATAACAGACGAATAAGTGCTTTGCTTCATTTTATCCGGTCACAACCTTTACTTTTATCGTTGAAAGAAGTTGAAAACATGATTTTCATCAAAAAATGACTTGACCATCCGCTATTTGTCACGTCATACTTCGTTAACCATAGAAACTGGTCGTCACTAAACTTGTCTCAAAATGCGCGCGAGGGAAAAACGAACTGCAACTGAAAAAGTCTGGGGCTGATGTTTGATTGTCTAGGAATTCTCAGTGGTCTTGTACGTCAGAGGTTAAAACTTTGGCCGGAGTTCAGCCCACGCCAAAACTTTACGCGTTCTTATTTTGAAAGTGATTTGCGTTGTGAAGTATTCTGAAGTGAACTGAGCTTATTACTGTGTGATAAATAATACCAGGTATATTACCTTTAAGGAGATTTACTTCAGTCGCTTCGAAATCCCAGTTTTTATTACACAGTGCAGTTTTCTAATACAACACTTGTTGGAGATCGACACGACATCTAGATCCGAAGACCTTTGCCTTAAATTACCTTGATGTTATAAGTATTTTATACGTCTATATTTGCTTTCTTTCAGAAAGAGAAGGACACTAAATTCAAGTTTGCGAGGACGCGTCTCTGGATGTATTACATCAGTGAAGTCAGTCCTCTACCACCGCCATTTAACCTGATACCAGTAGAAAAAATTGCCTCCGCAGTCCGTTGGCTTGCTAGAAGATACAAGTGGGTTAAAAAAGTAAGTAAGTAAGTAAGTAAGTAAGTAGCAAAGCCTCACTGCACGCACATGAAAAATGATTTAAATGTTAAGAAATTAAAAAGGAATTAATTTTTTGGTAAAAACTAAAACAACTATGGACACGAACCAAGGTCACAAGTTTTTAAATCTACTAAATATTTCTTACGATAATCGATCTATAATTTATATTATCGAGACACATGTTAGGAGACGTAAATGCGCATGTTTCTTTGGTTTTTATTCTCGTACAAATAGTTTCTCAAGCTTTACGCCTGAAAACTATCCGGATAGGTTGCATACTTGGCCTGAAATAAAAACGCGCGTTTTCTTTCGCTTGCTGTCGTCGTTTTTGTTGCCGTTGTTTGGCTACTTCAAACACTGTTTTCATGGTATTATCCTTAGAGTCTTTTGTATTCCTTTTTTAGTGTCTTGGTTGTATCAAAGCAGAAGAAATTACATCAGATACAGTTAAAACTAATCAGAAAAGGGTAAGTATATCAATTTTTAGAAAATTAGAATGAACCTTTATTCTCGTCATATAAGTAAGAATAGTGATAACCAAAGTAAATCAACCTCAATAAAAGCGCCGGTCTCAGAGAAAATGTACCTTCGACCAGGAGGGAAGAAAGCAGGCTCTCCTATAAAATTTCTGGGGTTCTCCTTGAAAATTCCCTTTTAGAAGTGCTAAGTCTAAAACAAAGCAGCAGGACTAGCTCAGTCAGTAGAGCGCTCGACTGCAGAGCAAGAGTGTCGCGGTTTCGACCCTCGGTATACTGACAGGGTCCACAAGATACTGCGAAATAAATGTTTTGCCTTTGCTTTGCGAATGGCTGGTCCTTTGCGTGGCTCGAACGATGACCACGTAAAATGGCAGTCCTATCTCCAGTATGGAAACGTAAAATACAGTTGTCAAATTGTACTTTCGTGCTCAATACATTGACACTGCAATAAAGCGCGCTTTTTAAAATTTTGATCGGCAAATTCTCATTTGAAAAAATGAGTCGTGTCATAAATCGGTAGGTGATCATTTAATAACTTAGCTAGACAGTGCAGTGTTCTCAGTCGAGGACGAGCGAAACTATATAAGGCTTTCAAATTTCAAAAGCTTTTTCAAATAAGGGCATTATTCTTCAGCGAATAACCTATAAAGAATTAGAAAGGAAGCACGGGAGACAGGCATGGAAGAGGAAGCGTTAGTAACAAATAGTTAAGCTCGCCAATTATTAACATCGTTTTTAAAAATTTCCCTATAAACGTAAGCCATGTTCGACAAGTCGTTACAAGGTAACTATTTTGCATCCTTTGCTTTCTCATTCTTTTGTCTTTTACATTCTCCTCATTTTTATTTTATTTTATTTTTTTTGTTTTTTGAAGTAACAGTGAGTGCTATTTATTTCTCGGTTCTGTACCTGAATACCATGCATAGAGTAGATGGCCTGCATATTGAAGGTCCTGAACTTAACACTTTGAACTTAGTTATCATGATATTTAGTCGAACTAGTAAAAGAGTTGTTTGACTAACAGTTTGATTAACCACGCTTTGTTTGTTTTTGTTTTCTGTTTAGCGACGTGTCGTTATCAAAAATTTGATATATCGCTATTTTTCTGGTAAACAAAATACACTAAGAAAGGAGCCTGATAAGAACACCACCCCCTCAGACGAGGATACCCCTGAGGAGGAAGATGAGGTACAAACCAAGCTGATGGAGGTCACTAAAACATTGCAAAGCCTGCAAAAAGCAGTTCATCAGTTTCGCCGTAAGACACCA